GCACGCTCTTTCAACCAATGACAGCGCGCGTTATATCCGAACTTTATTATAATTCTCAATAAGGAAATCTGAAACAGTCCTTATTGATTAAGCAGATTTTGGAATGATTTGGAAGTAAAGGAAGCCGTCAAAATGACAAACGCGTCGCGCTTGTTTTTGCTATAAATTCGATCGCGTATGTTCCTGAGGATCAAAATTGTAGACCTAATGTTTCGCATGAACTTAAATGCTAATATTTTCGTCGGCTTTTAACGGATTCGATCGAGTTTGGTACCAAAATTTAGCTTGTCATTTGAGCATTTTATTTATGTCAAAGTTGACATGCTCCAGTGCACTTGTCGCAAACAATTCGACTAAGAAATTCATTTACTGGTACTATCACGCGGCAGATCACATCGCTCGCCAACTGTTTCGGACGCAGAACAAAATTCATATCTCGACAAAGTTTCAACAAAAACACCAAAAAACGAAAAGAAATTGAAAACCAACTAATGAACATTGCATTTTGAGGTTAAATTGTTCTGTAACTCAGGAATTATGACTCGCAAAATGAATTTAAAATTATCTGTCTCTCCTAAGCTTTAAAGCGTGACGCATCAAGTGGTGAACACTTTCGTTGATTTTACGAAAGATTTAGCTCAATTTTTCAGGATTTTGGTTGCCACTTTGCTTAAAAAGGAATTATTTTCATTATATCTTAAGTCTTACGGTTATAAACGAGGCTTCAGTGGGCAAAAACAGGAAAACAGTGAATAGTGAAGCCGACGCAAGTTACGCGTGACGCCATGTTTTTGTCGCTAACTTTATAATTCGGCTCCGATTCAATATTTTCAGAGATCCTTTATTCTACCTCTGTTTAGTCCAAAACCATCTTTAACACATGTGTAACAATTGTGGAAAGTCTCAAGCAGATCTGATCATTGTGCGCCGAGAAATTCTTAAAAGTTCAAGCAAATCCGTGATTTTTCAATTTGTACGTGATAAGCGTGCTACTGATCTATGTTGTCTGAAAATTGTAATCTTGATACTACTGTACATAAGCAACCATATTTTAATGTAGTAAATTTTCAATGTTTGTATTAGTGTTTGTTTCATCCTCTTTGGGACTGTTTCAAATGAGGTAATCAATATGTAGAAATGCACAAAGGTGTCAATTATCATCAAGACATGTTTACATTCATTGTGTGTTTGTTTTTTTCCATCTTCTTCTTGTTGTTGTCATCATTTTTACCTTTACTATTATAATAATTATTGCTATTACTTATTTTAACTTGCTCTCTCTAGCAAGTCATCAATATTTTAACTTTTTTTGTTACTTGTACATGTAGCTTTATTTCTGTTTGCATGATTGGGTTTGTTTGTTTTTTACTTATTCTGTTGACTGTTTGACCCCTAAGAGTGACTACTATATAATTTTCCAATACAAATCACTCCTGAATCAAACAATAATGTCATAATAATAAAGGAAATTATCACCAAATAAACATGCTCTTGATTGTAACACAAATTCTTCTCATCTCACCTTTTAAGAAATATTTGGAGAACAGTATGGAGTATAAAGAGGATAAGTTTCTAAAGAAACTGTGGTGTTGTGTTGGTGAGAGACTATAACAGGACAATTTAGTATTATCAACTAAGTTGATAGCATAAATTGGCCACTGTAAAGAGTATGAAAGCTGAGGTTTTTAGGATTCACCCTTCATCGGAGTGAAGGATGAAAGGCTATAACATTCAAAATGTCAGCTTTAAAACTCTTGGCAGCGGCCAATTTACGTCTACTTATCCACTCAGTGGATAATAGTACGGAGAACTTGCATGCTGTTGTAGGATGTTAAGGTTTAAATTAATTTCTTGATTTTTCTCCGACAGTCTTGTTGCTGATGTAGTGGTATTTAACTCACAGTTCAACATGGAGTCATTTTTATCATCTATCAAAAGCTTTCTGAAACTAATGCCAGATAATCAACCCAAGGAATTAGACCAAATAATCAGACCAAAATGCAGGGTTGTGCACTTTCCTTTGATGGAACCTGAAATGGGTACAGCAGAATACAAAGGTGAGCAACATGAGAAGCTTTTAACCTATTAATCTTAACCATTGCAATTTCCTAAAATGTGATTGGTGAATCAGCTGCTTAACTTTTTTCACTAATCATTCTGTAAGGTTGTAATTGGACAATGAGAATTGTAATAAGACGTTTGGCTGTAATCAGACACCTGTAATAGGACAGCTGAAGCAGCCAATCATACTAAGTTCTTTCAGTCCAATGTACCAATCACAGAATTGATCACAATAATCACAGCAACAGCCACTTATCCTAAAAAAAACTGTGGAATTTTTTACTCTAGACATTCTCTCTCTACTGGAGATATTTGTCCTTAATGTATTTTGTTGTTCTTGGAAATTGTGAGGGTCATGATTTATTGGCAGTAGGACTTTGGTTTGTCCAATTCAGATGAATCAACTAAGGCTTCACAGCAGTTAGATTCTGTTTATTACTTGTATGATTACTGACCATATTGGACTCCACTCAGTCCTATTACCGTTATTTACCCCTATAAGCGATTTAAACATCCGATGTCTCCCAACAGTATTACCCCTACATCAAACATCAAGGTCTTAAGGTAGCTCTTGATTGTTAAACAAATTCTCCTTGTCAGCACCTTAGGAAATGTGTAGA